AAAAAAAAAAAAAAAAAAGAACCTTGAAAGAGTTCTGTGTGTTGACTCAGTAATTCCTTTCCTGAGAATCTCTCCCAAATGTACAACAAACAAACAAAAGCCTTCTGTTCATTGTAGATTGTACATAACAGAGAAGATGACAGCTCCCTGATAGCAGGAGAATCGTTTCTGATCTACTCGGTGGAATGTTGGACTGCCATCAGGAATGTGAGTATTTTGTAACATCGTAGAGGAACACATGTGCTCAGTTAGTAGACAGTGTCTGGTAAAGCCCTGCTCCGTGCTGAGTGGTGAGCCAGTTAGATTTGGTCCTTGGCCGCATGGAACTGAGTGCCTGGGAGGAAGACAGCAGTCACTCCTGAGAGGGATTGGTGATCAGTTGGGACTGCCGTGGGAGACGCTGGCCTTTGGGACATGGGAGTGGGACGTGGAAGGCATCCCAGAGGACAGGATGGTGATCCCGAGGCTGGGAGGATGAGTAGGTGTTGGTACGCAAAGGGCACAGAGTGTTTAAGAGTGGGTGTGGTGTGGCTGGAACACAGGGCGACTGGGGAGGCTAAGCTCCAGGGGGCCAGCAGCCAGCTCACAGGTGTGCCCAGAAGGTCAAAAGCTTGCACCTGATTCTGAGAGCAGCAGGAAGTCGTTGGAGGGCTTTAGGAAAGAAAGACTGTTACCGTATGTGCTGGGACGTGTTCCCTGTGGCTGCAGCATGGAGCATGGATTGGAGGAAGGCGGGCATGGAAGCGGGGGGCCCGGTGCAGAGGCTGCTGCGGAGGCCCAGGGGAGAGATGGTGGTGGCCTGGATGGAGGCTCTGGAGGTGGGGAGAAGGGGCAGATGGAACAGCAAGCGAAGAGACAGGAATGACAAGGCCGAGAGGTTTGGTGCGTGTGGGCCATGAGGGGACAGAGTGGATGAACCCAGGTTTCTGGTTTGGGCAAAGGTGGCTTTTGGTGCCATTGTGAGTGATAGGCCGCACTGAAGGGGGAGCAGTTTCAGCAGCAGGGCAGTTGCCGGGGGGGGGGAATGCTGAGTTCCCTCTGGGGTGCTGAGTTTAGAGTATCCATGCAGCTCCTTCTCCAGGAGACTGTTGGATAGGGAGGTCTGAAGTGTGAGAGAGACAGACGGGGTACAGGTGTCGACTCAGAGTCGTGAGCGTGAGGCCTGACCAGAGAGTGCTATGGCGGGGAGAGGCACAAGACACCGAAGGCAGGAGCCGGGTGGGGATGTGGGCAAAAGAGCAAGGCTGGAAAAAGGGACGAGGGCTTGTCAGCAGCAGTTGTTTCTGGGCCGAGAGATTAGACTTGATTTCCTTTTCTTTTTTGTTTCTGTTTTTTCCCAGTTCTGTATTATAACTATAGTAAATATTGATTGCACTCATAGAATGTGCCAGATACTGTCCTAGTAACTTTTTATAACTCTTCTAAATTCCCACAAGAAACCTACAAGACAGGTCTTACTGTATTCCCATCGTACAGATGAAGAAACTGAGCACAGAGGGGTTAAGTCACATGTCCCGAGCTACACAGGGTGCCGTCAGCAAGCAGCCTGCCTGGAATCCAGGCTGCCTGGTTCCACGGCTGTGCACTCCCCACGCAGTGGGGTCTCTCCACACTATGCTGTTGTATTTTTACAAATGGGAAAATAATTGTGTTTTTTTAAAATAGCAGTAGAGGTAAGAGAAGTAGGACTTGAATCTGCTAGAAAATTAGAGGTGAAAGGGTTTGCACCTGCAAAGTCAGTGGCTGGCTGAGAAGTCTGTGGGAGACCAGACCGAGCTGGCTCTGTCGTGGCATCGGAGCACAGTTAATGCTTATTTCTGCACGGCTCGTTTTCCTCCAGGCACAAGTGCTTCCCCGCACGGGGTGTCATGGAAGGGCTGCTGTCGAGATGCAGGGCACTGCCCGCCCTGACCACCTGCGGCCGCCAGCTCTCTGGGTACGTTCCTCACAGGTTTTACCACTGTGGCCCAGAGAGAGGGAAGCGCTTGGTGCTGTCCCGCATGTTCCAGCCCCAGAACCTTCGGGAAGACCAGGTGCTCTCTCCTGAGGGCAGATCTGGCGACCTGAGCTGTAAGAGCCAGCGGCTGATGCTGCAGGTGGGTCTGATCCACCCGGCAAGCCCCGGCTGTTACCACCTCCTGCCTTATACCGTGCGTGCCATAGAGAAGCTCGAGCGGGTGATAGACCAGGAGATGCAGGCCATCGGGGGACAGAAGGTCAACATGCCCAGCCTCAGCCCAGCAGAGCTCTGGCGCGCCACCAAGCGGTGGGACTTGATGGGCAAGGAGCTGCTAAGACTTAGAGACAGACATGGCAAGGAATACTGCTTAGGACCAACTCACGAGGAAGCCATCACAGCCCTGGTTGCCTCCCAGCAGACACTGTCCTACAAGCAGCTTCCGTTCCTGCTGTACCAGGTGACAAGGAAGTTTCGGGACGAGCCCAGGCCCCGCTTTGGTCTTCTTCGCGGCCGAGAGTTTTACATGAAGGACATGTACACCTTCGACTCCTCCCCAGAGGCCGCCCTGGAGACCTACGGCCTGGTGTGCGGGGCCTACAGCAGCCTGTTCCACAGGCTGGGGCTACAGTGCGTCAGGGTCCAGGCGGACGTGGGCAGCATCGGGGGCACCACGTCTCACGAGTTCCAGCTGCCAGCCGAGGTCGGGGAGGACCGGTTTGCGGTCTGTCCCGGCTGCGGCTTCTCGGCCAACATGGAGACGCTGCACTCGTCGCAAACCAGCTGCCCTGCTTGCCGGGGACCACTGACCGAAAGCAGAGGCATCGAGGTGGGGCACACGTTTTACCTGGGCACCAAGTACTCCTCCATTTTCAGTGCCCAGTTTACCAACGCCCACGGCAAACCGTGCCTGGCCGAGATGGGCTGCTATGGCCTGGGTGTGACGCGGATACTGGCTGCCGGCATTGAGGTGCTGTCCACCGAAGACTCTGTTCGCTGGCCCAGCCTCCTCGCGCCTTACCACGTGTGCCTCATCCCCCCGAAGAAGGGCAGTAGGGAGGAGGCGGCCACCGAGCTCACGGGCGGCCTGTACGACCTCATCACGGAGGCAGTGCCGCAGCTCCGTGGTGAGGTCCTGCTCGATGACAGGACCCATCTGACCATCGGAAACAGACTGAAAGACGCCAACAAGTTTGGGTACCCCTTTGTGATCATCGCCGGCAAGAGGGCCCTGGAGGACCCTGCCCATTTTGAAGTCCGGTGCCAGAACACCGGTGAGGTGGTGTTCCTCACCAGAGAAGGAGTCACGGAATTTCTGAGCCAAGTGCAGGTCGTCTGAATACCCCCGAGCCACCCCCACCCCATCTTGCAGCCTTAGTGTTCATTCGGACGGTCTTTTCCTGCACTCCTTCCCAGGGCCGGCCTCTCCAGGTACAAGGCAGCTCATGGAAGGGGTAGCATGTTAGGGAAACCGACTTTTATCCAGTCCTTTGTTCCTATTCTTTGTATTTGAAGTTGGTGATTCCATTCTCTGGACTGGCAGTGTTGCCACATAGCATTCCTCTTATATCCCATTGTGGAGGCTTGTGGGTTAGGGGGCAGAGGGGCAAGAGAGAGCCGCTCATCCTGACCCTCAGGCGAGTGGCTTCCCTTCTCTGCCGAGTTTCCCGTGTGGAGGATGCGAGTGGCCCGTGGCCAAGGCCCTCCTGGCTCCAGCAGTCTGACCCCTCCTGGTGCCTCTTGCCACGTTTGGTCTGGAGAGCAGTCCCACCGGCCCTCCCCCACTTGGTCATGTCCCCTTCCCTGCTGGGGCCTCAGTTTCCCCATCTGTGACATGAGAAAATGGAACTAGATCTGTAAAATTCTTAAGCTGTCACTGGGTGGTTCCAAAGAGGTTCATGATGGGCAAATCTGGGTCCTCTGATCCCCTGTAGTCTAAGCTACACAGAGAATTGATAGAATTAACTAATGGCCCAAAACCACCTCCAGAGACCTGGCTCTTTTGGGGTGGCTTAGTGTGGAGTTGGTGTTATATTGATTGAATAAAGTAAGCTACTGGGATGAGCCTTGCATAGTAACTTGGAACAGTGGTAATGCCTGCCGTTTTAACAGCAGCAGCTTCTTCTTTCCTTTTTTATCCTACTATTTCTACAGTTCACTCAAAAACAAACAAAACCCACCTCCGAAGGCTGGGAATATGTTTTAAACCATTTCTCCCCCAAATGTAGGGGTAGCAGGCTTCAGGTACCACGGTGAACTTGTCTTGGGTCCAGAGTTGGGTCCTAGAGCCGCACCAGGGGTGCATATTAAGGTCTCTGCCCATAATCTGTGGAAACTGGGAGCAGGCTTGAGCCACAGAGCAGTGCCACCTGCTTTCACTTCTCCTGCTCATCAGATTATGGTCTCGACACGTCCAAAGCTAACAAGATTCTGTCACAGTCAAGCTCAGGGCCACCACCTCTGGAAGCATTTTGCCCTCTGCCTCCCCCACGCTCTCCCATTCAGCACTGATGACGTTGATTCTTGTTTGGAGCACACACAGCTCATTGTTCGTGCACCCCCCTCTCTCGGTTGACAGTCACCTCCCCAAGGTCATGGTCCTGGGCTGATTCCCAGTGTACCACACTTCTTGGCCAGTTGTCCCACCTGCCAAACAGCTCCCCAGCAGTGTGTTCCTGCTGCTGCTGTCACTGCTCAAGTAACCCACGCCCCAGCACACACCATCAGGTCTCCTCATTAACATTCATGCCAAGCCCTGATGACCTCCAGGCCAGGAGATGTGTATTCTGAGAGCAGACCTAGAAAGGCTGGATTAGAAGTCAGGGGACTTTACCCTTGGCTGCACTTTGGAATTACCTAGGTCCCACCCGGAAAAGTTCTGGTTAGAGTCTGGGGTACGGCCTGGGCATCCTGCATTTGAAAGCTACATAGATGAGCTCCATAGATGCACGAAGTCGATTCAGGGTTCCCAGTGTACTTACGGGCAGCCACCATCTCTGAGCCACTTTGTAGCCGAGCATTTCTTAGAGTAATCTCCTGTGTGCGCTATCAGACTGACTCTGCTTTTAATGGTCTGGTCATTTATTTGTTAAGGGCCTGCCATGCACCGGTGTGCTGTGAGGCACTTTTATATACCATTTTCACACCAAAAACTGTGCGGGGTGGATGCTGTTCTCCTTTTACCGATGATGAACCTGAAGCTTCATCTTTTAAGTGTCAGAGCTAGAATCTGAGTATTGACCAGAACCTATGCCATTCCTGCTATAACTGCATGGCTTCTGCCTAGACGAAAGTGATTTCAGTAAATAAAACTGAATTATTTATGCCTTTCTAATCCAGTTAGCCTCAAATAGATGAGAAATTAGAATCTGTGTGAATTGGTGCTTAATTTTTTAAAATTTCTTATTGAAGTACAGTTGATACACAATGTGACATTTGTTTGAAGTGAACAGCATAGTGATTCAGTAACTACACATTAAGCTGTGCTCACAAGTGTAGCTACCGTCTGTCACCATACAACACTGTTACAATACCACTGACTGTATTCCCTGTGCCGTACCTTTCATCCCTGTGTCTTATTCATTCCGCAGCTAGAAGCCTGTACCTCCCACTCCTTTTTTTAATTTAAATTTGTGCTCCATAAGCTGGTTTATGTAAGGCTAGCCTAATATAAGCACTCTTAAAAACCAGAGTCCAGGAGGAGAGAACCAATTAACTTTTAAATTCTTCATAAATGTTCGAGTTATTTGAGGAGGACACAGAATCATGGAAGTTTCGAACAGGAGGACTTGGAGCCCGCCTGTCCACCTCTCATTTCACAGAAGGGAAGCAGGCCCAGACTGGGAGTTCACCTGTCACACACCATCTGACAGCAGGACACCTGATTGCAGGCCAAGTGCTGTGTCCCCTGAATTAGGCTACCTCCAGTCGATCTTGTTGCATCAAGAATGGTCTGGCTGGATCACCGTTTGAGCTATAGAAGCCTTGTAGCTGCGAAACAGGTACCGTCCTCTGTTTTCCAAGGGAGATCAATCCAGGGAGAACAGTGATTTGCTCAAGGGCAAGCTGAACTGACACCTAGGTGTCCTGATTACTGAGCCACCATGTCTTGGAAGAAGCCAGGGGCGGTATGATACGGGGGGAAGATCAGAACCTTGAAGAGACATAATCCTAGATCCAGCACTTACCAGGGATGTGACCTGAAGACAAATTACTCGCCTTTTCTGCTTCTCAGCTTCTTCATCCCTAAGATGTGCTCATGGCCATGCCCCTCTCAGGGTGGCCTGAGGTTGGCTGAGCGTATTACTTACGTGAAATGCTTAACCCTGTGCTCTCAGCAAGCACTTCCTTCACTCCAGACAACTTAGGAAATGCCACCATTGGGAGCTCAAGTTCTGCTCTTAACTTGTCTCAAGACCTGCATCTTGTTTTCTTGATCTGATGCTTTACAACCTTCCTGGGGAGTGCCACGGGCAGGAGTTCAGTGATGCCTAGGGAATGACTCCATCTCCTTAGAGAAAAGACCAATATTCTCACACTGTGTACCTTACTGTCTCTTTTCTGAACTTGCCAGTGTTACTTCTTGCCATAAACTGATGAAATGGGGATGCTGGCAAAATAACAGGTACAGGATGTATTATCATTGTTCATTCCTTGGGGAGATCTAGAAGCAACTGGCTGGGAAATACTTAGCAGAATTAATACTTGGGGACAAAAGCTGGTGCCTAACAAAACCATTGTGTAAATCAAGCTTAGAATGTAAATCAAGGGCCCCATTAATACTCTGTTTTCATGGAAGAAACACCTGCTGGGCTATCAATAAAGATGCTTTGTAGAAATCTGTTGAAACTCATTTCTTTAACTACCTGAGTGCCAAAGAACTTCACAGAGTTCCCACCATCCGTTTCTACACCAAGATTCCAGAATACTTTTTAGAATGGATTGTTATGCATCCAAGGGCGTGTGTAAGGCTTTGTTTTAGAGTTAGGAAAAGTTTGATAATGTGGAAAATGGGAAACTTTTTTTTGATGTTAGTGCAAACTTAGGGTATACTTGAAAAAAATCAAGGTATTGCCCTTAATTTAAAATAATGACTTACATCATAGTGACCCACACTAGAGACTGTGGAGTCAGACTGCCTAGGCCACTTGATAGCTATATGACCCTGTGCAAGGTGCTTCCTGTGCTTCTGCAGTAAAACAGGGACAGCAGTGCCTGGCTCACAGCAGGTGCTGGGTAAGTGGCAGCGGCCTTTACACTTGGCCAGTTAGCCCTCTGCATGTAGCAGGTGGGTGGATGGTGCACGTGGGCCAACAGAGTGGGGTGGCACCTTTAGGGTCCCCCTGATCAGGCACCGCTTTGGTGCAGGGATGGTCGGTGTTCACTCCTGTTAAGCCAGCAGCTCTGAAGGGTGATGAGCTTCCATAGTTAAAAGCCTAATTGCCCTTGGCTAAATAGAACTCTGTAGGGCTAGGAGAGCGAGAGGAAGCACTTGTTAATGGTGACTGAGGACAGCCGTTTGCAAGGGAAGAATTTGTTGCCCAGCCTCCCTCAGAAAGCTCGAGGGCTGACCGGAGCCCTACTGGCAGGGTGTCAGGTGTTGTGGGGAGTCAGCTGTGGGCTCTGGCAGTCTGGCTCTGGAGACTGGACTCTTTTGCCCAGGCAGACAGGCTGGGGACATTGCAGGACAGTGAATGCCAAGACTTTGTGACAACAGTGGAGTGAACAGGCAAAGGGCTGCTGGGTCTAGTGCCAACTCCCGAAAGGCAGAGGCCCAGTCTTACTGCTGCGGATGTATCCTGAAGGGCCTAGGGGAGTTGTGAATTCAAGTTATGGCTCTACTTCTCACTCGCTAGCTAACACTGGGCAGGTTACCCTCTCTGTGCCGGTTTTCTTGACAGTAAAATGGTTCTGTAAACTACTTGCCTCCTGACGTGTCAGGAGTGAGCAAGTCAGCCCACACGAAGCACCCTAGAACACTGTCTGGCATATCCTAAGTGCTCGGTAGATGGCAGCTGTTACTAGTGAGCCAGGCCACTTAGGCACTCCCCCTGGAATATGCCAGGATTGCTTGAGGGGTCCTTCCAACTCACACTCCCCACCCTTCCCTGTCCCTTCCCCAACCTCATGGCCCATATCCATCTTGTGTGGTGGCTTCCCCCCAAGTCTGTTTAGAATTTATCACCCCTTCCTCTGTGCCATCAGTCAGTAACTATTTGTTGTGTACCTGCTGTGTGCTGTGCTAGGTGCTGGCGGTACAGAAGTGTACAGTTCAGGGCCCCGGACTCAGTTTACAAAGACGTGGGAGGAACTATCCAGTAAGTGGTTAATTACAATGTA